GGAGGGAGACCAGCTCTTTCTTCCTCCCCCTTTGTGCTGTTGCCTGGATGAGAACAGGCCTGAAGCTCCAGCAGCCACCCTGGACTGGGAGGCGACCCTGACGATGGAAGCTGCTTGCCGAAGATGTTGGGGCCGGAAGACAGAAGGAGATGGGATCCCAGGTGACCTCGTGGAACCAGCACAACAGCCCCGACTGCTCTGTGAGGTGAGAGAGAAACCTACTTCTCTCTGGTTTCAGCTGCTGCTATTTGGGGTCTCCTGTGTAGGCAGCCATACCTAATTGCCACAGACACAGGTGCGGTGATTATCCTCGTTTTCCTAGTGCATATGACAAAACCGACTCGATCCCAGACGGCCTCACAGTGGGCCTGTGTGCAGAACCACTAACCCACAGGTGCTTCCCGGCAGAACAGTAATTGCGCGTTGCGCGGGGTAAACACTAGCTGGAGGGTGTCTGGGCTCTGCCGACGTGGGAACCAGGAATGCATGGCCTTGGCAGTGGCCTTGGTCTGCCCGCGGGGCAGCTGCTCTCTGTGTTCTCACCACATCGGAGTTGTCTGGGCCAGGGCCCTACAGCATTCTGGCGGGAGCCCCAGACCACGGTTATGAAATTCCTCATATCCCGATCTGCCCTCAAGGAACCAGCGACCAAGCAGAGGCAATTACGGGAGGCTTTCGCCAGGGGAAAGTGATTCCAGCCCCATGTGAAACAGGAAGGAGTGGCCAGAGTCCCTGGACAGGGAATTAGGGTCTGAGGGCTGCAAAAAGGATCTCGTTCAGCATCTGCCCATTTGCCACAGAACACTGGTACCAGGAGCCGAGAACAGGTGTGCAATGTGGAAGCATCGGTGACCCAAGAAGCTTGAACATATAGGACTTATTACAGGACTTCTCAGAACTGTGCATGCACTGGGACACTCCTGGAGGGGAATGAAATATATAACATTCCTTTACAGTAGGGGTGTCAAACTCAATCAGAGAAGGGGCCAAAATCTAAAATCCAGCCTAAATCGCGGGCCGAATGGTTTACTGAACAGTCATAAACTGTCATTGTGATGGAAACGCAGCGGAGTGCAGTGATGACAGCGCGGTGCGGGCCACATTGCAAGGCCTGGCGGGACGGATTTGGCCCGCGGGCCTTGTGTTTGACACATGTGCTTTACAGTATTAAATTTTGAGTCCTTTTTGGGGGGAGGAGTATCTCAGATGATGTTTTTCCCCTTTAAAAAAAGTTATCAATAGATACCATTTATGCATAGTTTACTGCATGCCAGGCACTGTGCTATAGATTATATATACTATCTCATTAATTCTCAGGGGGAAAAACAATCTATGAAGTGGAAACTGGTTTTGTTGACATTTTATAGGTAAGAAAACGGAGGCTCAGAGAGTAACACGCCAAGGTCACAAGATTGTAAGTGATAAAGCAGCAATCCAAACCCTTCGGTCTGGTTCCAGAAGACACCATACTCTTTGGCCCAGAGAGGAGAGAATTTGCCACATTCCTCGCAGTGGGCATGAGGCCATGCTGGATTTGGACTTAAGTCTCTTGACTTCTGTTACGATTTTTTTTTTCATACTTTGCTGCATCTGGATTCATGAACATGTGTCAGTTGGTGACGTCCGTCTCCCTACACGGCACTTCCCTGCCACCCAGAGCTGTGACCAAGAGGCCACCTGGCCTCTGGTCAGCACCATTCTGCAATGTCCTCTCATTCACCTTTAAGACCTGACATGTGACGCAGGCACATCCCCCTGAACTGGACCCACCAGTTACGGGCCATGCTGTCCACCACAGACCCAGCTCACAGAAGCCAACTCTAGACTGCTCTGTGTGTTTTTTACATTTTTTAATGGTCTAAGAAAAATAATAGTGTGTGACACTTCGGTGAAAGTTATATGAAATCCAAATTTCTGTCCATAAATAAAACTTTACTGGCACACAACCATGCTCATCTGTTTATATATTGTCTGTTTAGTGTTATAATGGTGGAGTTGAAGGGTCCATGGCCTGCAAAGCCTGCAGTATTTACTTTTTGCCCTGGTCCGAAAGTTTGCTGACTCCTGTTCCAGCTGAAAATCAAAGCTCAATAGTATCTTCATCCACATCTGGTGATTCCTTCTCAAGTAGCTGGTTTCATCCCTGCCTCAGGGGTTGATGGGGAGGAAATAAACTGTGGCTAAACCTCAGGAATGGAGAGAAGTTGCAGGCCAACCCACGAAGGTGGGCAGGGGCCCAGGAACCAGGTTCATGTCTTAGGGCTGCTCCCGCCATAGGCTGCTGAGCACGTTCCTTCCACTGGGCCATGCTCCTGACATGTGCTCTCACCCATCCACATACTAACGGTGTATTGAATGCCTACTATGAGCCACCTCAGGCACTGTGCAAGGCCATAGAGATTATTTAAATAGAGATAGTTCCCAATTTATGATGGCTCAACTCTGGCTGTCCTTCTCCAAGCTCCAGGCCGCTGTCCAGGCTGAGCACAGAAGCATCCTTTGCAAGAAGCCCCATCCCAATGGCTGGACACCAAAGCCTGGGTCTGAATGCAGCTTGTTCCCTCCGATTAGGCAGGAAGCCTGTCTTCTCTCTTCCTCTAACACACATTCCAAAGTCGTGACTCTGTCCTTCTGCAGTTTTGATTCCCATATTCACCAGGTCTCCTGAGAAAAGGCCCAAGTAGTGGGTCCCATGTCAAACACCAGCCTTACTGGATTGATGAGCATTCCTGAGGGGCTCAGCATTTGCAGACTGAGAGCATCCCAAACAGACAACTAAATCATCTGTTGAGAGTCTACTAAGTGCTGGGCCAATGAGGTTCTTATTGAACCTCCAGCTGCTCTGGAGGTAGTGATCACCTCCACTGCACGTGGGGGAGACGGCGAGATAATCACCTGCCCAGTGGCAAGTGGCGCAGTTCCGGTCCTTCCCAGAGCACCTCGCATTCATTCACCCGGTGGCCTGCATTTCCCTGGGCTTTAGTTTTCTCACCGGCAGAGGGGCTCACACACCTACCATGCAGGCCAGTGGAGGATCAGAGTGCCTGGCTTTTAGTTGAGTGGCAGTGATTACTCAAGGAATGTGGCTTTTGTTGGCTAGGCAGGGGTAGATGGGCTGTAGATACTTTCTTCCACCCCCAGACCCAATGGATGGTCTCACTTAGAGCCTCTGCTCTCCAGGCCCTGTTCCTCTGGGAGCCCCTTCCTGCTGCGGTTTGGGGATCCTCCTTATCTCTGAATACATTAAATACCCTTGAGGGTGGAACTTGCAGAAGCAGTGCTGGGGCTGAAGGGACTGAGATGTCTGGAGGAGACTCATGCTGGCTATGGTCCTGGATCCCTGTGAAGGGCGGACTAGGTTTGATGCAAGCATGACAAACTCATGGCCCACAACGAATACTTTTTTGTGGCCCAGCCAATATAATGGCATATAAGAAACGATTTAATAAAAATGTCGTAACTTAATTTTTACAATTCCTGTTATACATAATCCTAATAAAAGAGTAATATGCAAATTGACCATACCTCCACTATACTCACAAACCACACCCACCAGCCAATCAGAGTCAACTATGCAGATTAGCCCAACCAAGATAGCTGCAATCACGGAGAAAGCAGGGGGCTTGGGTTTCCCCGGCAATGGAGGAAGCCAAGCGTTCCACCTGTCCTGGCCTGCCTTGGCCTCTGCTTGGGTTGCTGGGGTGTGGGGCTGGCCTGCAAACCACAGGCCACCCCAAGCCCCAAGGAACACTCACCCTGATCCTGGACACCCTTCAGGGCAAACCAGCTGGCCCCCACCCATGCACCAAGCCTCTACCCTATGTAAAATATGCAAATTGGACAGCACTCCAACACACAAAGATGGCTGCCCCCATGTGGTCAAAGATGACTGCCCCCATGAAAACACAAGATGGCTGCCACAAGATGGCCAGTAGGGGAGGGCAATTGGGAGGGACCAGGCCTGCAAGGGAGGGCAGTTTGGGGGGGAACAGGCCTGCAAGGGAGGGAAGTTGGGGCGATCAAGCCTGCAGGAGAGGGCAGTTAAGGGTGACCAGGATAGCAGAGGAGAGAAGTTGGGGGCAACTGGGCCTTCAAGAAAGGGCAGTTGGGAGGGGGGACCCAGGCTTGTAGGGGAGAGCAGTTGAGGGGACCAGGCTTGCAGGGGAGGGCAGTTAGGGGCAAACAGGCTGGCAGGGGAGCAGTTAGGCTTCAATCAGGCTGGGCTGAGGGACAGCACCCCTCCCCCTTGCACAAATTTCATGCACTGGGCCCTTAGTCTATATTAAAAGTATAATAGGCTGACCAGACAAACCACCTTCTGGACATCATTCTGAATGTCCTTCTGGACAAAGCTGCAGCGGCGAAGGACAACGCAGAGGCAGTTAGGGGCAATCAGGCAGGCAGGTGAGCAGTTAGAGGTGATCAGGCAAGCAACCCCATGCTCCAGGCCTCTAGCTATTAACTACGTTTGCTAATGACTGATTACTATAATCCTGTTGCATTCATTTCCCTTAGCACCTTACGCGCAGGCACACCATTTTTCTCCACTAATACCAGCAGCTGATATTTTAGCAGTCAATTGAGATGTCATTAGTCTTGTATTGACTTGTTTGGTGTGTGCCACAGGAAATATTCTTTCAAACAAGAAAAATAGGTTTGTGTTACGCTTATTAATTTATGCAGTTATTCAGTGTCTGGTAAGTTAATGTTCAAGAAAAAGTATTAATTTTTGTTAAAATGTTCTATTACTTTATGTTTGGTGGATCCCTGCTCCCAAGTGCAGGTTCCTTGAGTCTGCACATGTTCCCAGGTGTGGGGTGGGAGACCAGTTGAGAAAACCATCTGCTGTCAGTCCTTCATCAAGTGACTGACTGTCCTTTTCTCTCCTGCTTTCACCCACGGGGCCCAGGGACGGGATATGGGACTGGGGAGCTGTCACAAGGGCTGGCTTCTCCTCCTCCCCACATAGGCGTTGACAAAACCACACACACATTTTCAAATCACATATGGCTTCTTTGACCCCATCAAATAACTTTATTCACACAAACGTCCCTTAATTTACAAAGCCTCAGTCATTCATACACAATAGGGGCTCCACAGTGTTCAAGGAACTTAAATATAATGTATCATACCAACCCAAGTAAACCAAGTACAAAAAATATTCATATAAAGTTGTTCACACGTAGGTCCTAGATTACCAGCTTCTGTGCAAAAAAAGAAAATAAGGAAAATAGGTTTATTAACTAGTATTTGAAACAAACTTTGAGCCTGGGTAAATCTTCCCTCACTGAAATGGCCCCACACAACTGTTCATCATCACAACATATTCCTCTGCTCTGATGGAAAGAGGTCCTGGGGCACGAAAGTGGTCTTTTAAAATGTCACTAAATAAACTCCCTTCCTCCTGTGGCCTCCCTCCGGTGACCCCTGCAATCCTAGGGCCGCTCCGGGCAGCCAGTGACAGTCAACTTGGACATCACACCTCCTGCTTCCCCTCCTATGGCATCTCTCCATGCTCTCAGGTGGACAGGATCAGAGATGGTCCTGGGCCTATGTTGTCCTGAAGGCCGTGGCTCAGCCCAGTGTGGGATGATGGCTGAGGCAGTGTCTCTGGGCCTCAGCCCCAAGCCTGGTGGCCAGAATCGAATAGTTCAAGTTTAGCTATTGTCTTCCCAGGAGACTCAGCAGCTGCCTATCTGGGGACCACCAGACAGACCTACAAGGGTAAAGGTGCTACAGGAAGCAATAACCCAAGAGCCCCACTGAAGAGTCAGGCCACCAGTGCCCCAGATGTGTGTGGGGGCACCAGCAGGATCAAGGGTGGGAGGCACACTTGGAGGGAAAGGCTGGAAGCCCAGGTGACATGGAGCATGGTGAGAACGGTCAGGATCCCCTTCTTAGGGGCAAAAGACTAACTTGCTTTTCCAAGTTTCCAAGATACCCCAAAGTCAGAACCTAGATGTTCGCCTGTCTTCTAAGAAGGCAAACAGTCAACAGCATAAAAAGGAGAGTTCCACAATGTCAACTCTTTTCCTTTTCTTAGAAAAAGACTGAAGAAAAAAGAAAAATCTTATTGCTCCACACACTGGTTTCTAGGAGGCAACTGATATGTTAAGGAGCTGAGGATCTTGGAGGAAGGAATGCAGGTGGGGAATGTCCCGGGCCAGGAGGCTGAGGAAGGTGGCCAGTGGTCATAGCACCGCAGGGTCGGGGAGAAGAGGGAGCGCAGGAAGTGCCCCTGGCACCTCTGGCTTCGTTCATGCTGGAGCCACCGCCGGCAGTGCCAGAGGCCAGGCCCTGTCCCGAGTCACTCTCCACCTAGTGTTGGGCACCCTTCCCCTCTGGCTGTAAACAGGGTATTTCTCAAGTAAACATATACACGCCCTCAGAAAGGCAGCCACGAGGGGCAACCACATCCGGGCAGGAGAGGTCCTGTCCTCCTTCCCAGTGCCTCCTGGAGATGAGGCTGAGGCCTGCGACTTAGTCCCCAGTGCCCAGAGGGCTCAGATGGAGCCAGTCTTGTATGAATAACCATGGCATCCTCCTGGCTAGAGGTAAAAGGCAGGGACGCGCTGGATAGTAAGAGGCAGAGTGCAGCTGCCTAAAGCATTTTCCATCCTCAGCTAAAGCTGCTAGTGGTGGGCGGGGAGATGTGTACCTGGCTGCAGCCCTCAGGAAGGGATGGGGGAACCCCATGTGGCTATGGGTGAATGGGAGGGAGAGTTTAAGAGACAGATGGACCCAAACAAGGAGGAAGACAGACTCCGAGGCAGCGGGGTCTGGCCAGGGAAGACAATGGAATAAGGCACTATGTATGACCTGTCTTGCTGACTCCTCTCACTTAGGGGGCAACCAGGCCCAGACTCTCCTCCAACAGGCTCTCCTTTTCAGACTGGAGAAGAGAATAACGGACTGCTATTTTAAGGTTTGGAAACTTCTGGAACCTGGACATGCTTAACAAACTTGGTGGCACTGAGGTGCTGCACCACCAAGCTGCTGCCAGGCCTGAGACGGGTGGAGAGGGTGAAAAGGCAGGAAGAGGCGAGGAAGCCGACCATGGTGGGAACAGGTGGCAAGTGGCTGAGAAAGAGGACAGGGGCCACCCCCTCACCCCAGGCTAGTCCACAGATTGGACTGACTCAGGACCGGCGCCCAACTTCAAGTGGACACAGTGAGAGAGCGGGGGAAGTGGGGGAAAGGAGACAGGCACTTGGGCTAACGAGCTGGCCCTCAAGAGCTGGGGAAGGTCACATCCACCCAGGAGGCTGGGAGCCCTACCAGGTAAGGGTGCACGGAAGCTGGCTCCTTAGGCTCCCCACCTCACCCGGAAGTTATGGACATCCTGTCATCTATAGGGGATACCCTGGCACCAGGAAAAATAATCAAGGGGGTGCACTGCAGCTCCAAGACCTACTCAGAGCTAAGAGGCTGGGGAGGGCAGAAGGAAAAAATAATAAGCAAAAGGCAAATAACTTGTTAGGCTTGAGCCCTCACTGAGGACTCCAGAACCCAAGCTGCAGCAGGGAGAGGGAGCTGCGAGTTTGGGGACTGTTTTCCCATTCGCTCATGTGCAGACAGCTGGCCGCAGGGAAGACAGGAGGTAGGGCAGGTGAGTGCACTGCAATTAGGGGATGCTGGGCTCCCCACAGCCCAGGTGCAGCTCAGAGCACACACAGGTCGCCCTAGAAGAAGCGATAAGAGACAGGCGATCACAAAGTATTTCAGCCTAGGAATGGATGGGCCTGGTTACCACCTGCAGCCCTGTTGGTCCTGCTACCACCGCCAGCTGTCTGCCCAGGAGGAAGGAGACTTGGTATCTGAGGAGCTTGAGAAACGGCTGAAAGAATTCGAGCAAACATATTGTCAAGTTTGAGCTGACACTGTGCTAGCCTCTCCCAAACGCCCAGAGCGTAGGACCGGAGCTGCTGTGGGGAAGGCCCCCTGTCATACAGAACTGAAAGGCCCTCCAGCGATCTCCCCTACTGATCCACTGCCGGCTTAGAGAAGCAAAAACAAACACAAACACGAAAGAGGAATTCCTTCCCCCTCCCCAAAGACCCTTTCCGGCTTGGCTGTCACAGGATGGAAAGTCCTGGAATAGCTAACACAGAGCCCAGGTGACACAGGGGGCCAGCACCGAGGGTTCCTGTCCTGCCCGGGAGCTGGCAGGGGGAGGACACGGGGGGGACGGGACGAAGCCAGGCTCAGAAGCCTGTGACAAGGGGCTGTTGAGAGCAGAATAGCAGGTACACTGACCCTCCTGGTGGGTTCCACCACTGGGGAAGCTCTAGGTGGCAAACCCACAATCAGGCACCTAAAAGCTGCAGGGGCCTGCCCAGTCACCCCCCTACTCCGGGCTGTTCCATCCTCTTCCGGTCACACACATTTACAACTAACAGTGTGCCCTGGGGGGGAGGGAGATGGCAGGACACTGTTACCATAAGTGATACCAGGGGACCCGGCACAGAGGGCACACCCTTCAGTGCAGCCAACAGCCAGTCCAGGGCACCCTGTTGTATGGCAATGGTCACGACTGGATCGCAGGAGCTCAGGCGGTCTCCGTGACAACCTGGGCAGAGGTTTGGCACGACAGTTTCTTCCTGGGGTCTCCTGCTGGGAGGAAGATCACCAACAGAAACGTAGGCCTGTAGAGCTGGGATGGCTGACTGCTCAACCACCAGGAAGTGGGAGATGATCACGTCTGCCCCGTCCCCCTGCCCCTTGAGGTCTGTCATGAAGGGCAGCGGGGAATGGAGTCCCACCACTGTGAGAAGTCTTGGAGTGGCCGAGGGCTTCCACAGCTTAAAGAGAACACACCCCGGGTGAGCACTGCTTTCCTGACTTCTCCTGGGCAGACAGACGCTGGTCTTCCTCCTCCAGGTGGATCTTGACCCGAGGCCAAGAGCTGGCCGGGAGCAGCGAGGGGTCGACAGGTCCTGCACCTGGTGGGAAGGTGGCCCAGGGGCCTCCTCCTGTCTCCATTCCGTTCTGGGAGAAATGCCCCCATCACCTCGGAGAGGGCCTTTCTCTGGGAGAAGTGAGGCGTTATGAGCAGAACTGAGAAATGGGTAAAAGCAAGGACAAAAACGAAATAGAGCCCTAACCCCTTATGAAAATTAAAGATGAAATTTACACAAATGCTTTGTCCATATTAAATTTCTTTAAAGAAACTGGTGCCTGTCCATAGCAGAGCTTCTGCTCTTTTGAAGTCTTAAATTGTTTAAATTAAAAAAAAAAAAAAAAAAAAAAAAAAAAAAAAATTAAGCGAAACTGAAGGGAGAAAACGCAAACAAAGCTTCACATTGCTGGAGCTCCAGCTGTCGGGAGATGGCTGCCGGCCGGGCACCTGTACTCTGCCGTCCTCTGTGAGACTGTGGGTCCCGGGGATCAACCTGGAAGACAGAAGGCAAGGCACGGTGGACACTGGTCAGTGGGCTCGGAGTGCCTCCAAGTTCCAGATCTCCCACGAGGTGCCAGCACCCACCCTATGACCTCAGGGCTGTGATGTGCTGGGGGCCAGGGGAGAAGGTTTCTAAATACTTTATCTGAAGGGAATTTAGCTTCATTATTCCTACCCTGCCCCAGACACACCTGCTTACTATTCAGGTAAAGAAACTGAGGTGCAGGTGAAGTGACATGCCCGAGCTCACGGGGCCTGAGGGGCAGACCCTGGCGGGAGTCCAGGCACACAAATCCGGTCCATCGTGAATCCTGAGCCTCGCTGATGGCTTCCTTCAGTGTTTACAGAAAGGCTGCCGGACCCTAGGCACCTGTCCCGCAGGCCTTGGCAGCCCTGGTTCCCCGCATACTTCCTCATCTGTCTAATTGTGCTGCCATAAAACATCAAAACAACTCTCGAGTTCACTGATCCGATTTTAAGAGACAAGAAAAGTGAGACTCAGGCCTCTGAGAACAGAAACTAACTACTAGGTAGCCAGGGTTCTTCTGTCTTAGGAGAGGCCAGAATCCCACACGGGGCGGGGGGCCCCCGAGCCAGGTGCTGGTCCTGCACAGTTGTGCATTGCAGGGGTCAGGGACCAAGTTCTGGAGCCAGAGCCTGTGGCAGACTCGACAGGCCCTACCACTTCACTGTGGACAAATTTAACCCTTTGCACTCCGAACCATTCTGGACTTTGGCTACCAGCTACTTGACGCTACTTTGCGGTGGACACGTGCATTGAATTAACTCAATTCCCCGTAATCACTAATAAACTGCAATGTCCCCCCTGAGAGGGGACATCCGAGTGATATGCTAGAATTCCGATGTCCCCTGAGAGGGGACAGCGGAGTACAAAGGGTTAAGTCCTCGGTTTCTTGATCTTGTCACCAGTACCTAAATCACAGATTGTTCTGAGGACCAAATGAACTAACACACTTAAAACTTAGAGCATTGCCTAGCTCTATTATTATTAGCTACTAGAGGCCCGGTGCACAAAATTCATGCACTGGGGGCACCTCATCCTGGCCTGCGCCCTCTCATGGTTCAGGATCCCCCGGGAATTCCCTCTTGCAGTCTGGGGCTCTCACAGTCCAGGTCCCCTTGCTCCTTACCACCGCCTGCTGTGGAGGTGGAAGAGGCTCTCACCACCTCTGATGTGCTCGCCAGCCATGAGCCCTGCTTCTGGCTGAGCTGGGGAAGGGGCGAGAGGAGGGGGGGAAGGGAGGGGTGTGTGTGTGTGGCTCAACCAGAAGCCGGGCTCACTGCTTCTCAGCACTGGTGGTGGGGGCAATCTGGGGCCAGGCCAGCTGGGGCAGGGGCTGTGGGAGGTTGAGGCACTGCAGTATCACCTCTGCGGAAGGGGGGCTGTGGGGACTACCATGGCTGGCCTGGCGGAGCCTCAGCCGCTGGTCGTTCTGAAGGTTGTTTGGCTGTCTGGTCTAATTAGCATATTACTTTTATTATTATAGATTATTTGAGAATGGCTTTGGGGCTTCAGGAACAAGACAAGCCATCTGCCCTTCAGGGACCTGTTCTAGTGGAGCCTCCAGCACAAGCACCTACAGAGGTCAGCCTTGGGCTAGCCCTCACCCAACCCAGCTTGAGCCTGATCAGAGCTAAGTGCAGCCCTAATCTAGGCAGGGTGGCACTCAGGGCAGCAATGCTGCAGCCTGAACGTTGGAATCAGACAAACCTTTCATAGTGTGCTAAATTCCCCACTGGCTTCCGTACTCTGTAAGCTCTGTGCAGCCGAGAGTTACCTTCCCACATTACTGGCCCTGAGCTGTCTCACAAACTGGCCATCGTCCTCAGGTCACGGGAAGAAACCTGGCTGGTCCTCAAGAGGCAGTGGAGTGCAGTGATAAGGAGCGGTTTACTTCCTGTCAGCCTGTGTCCTCCTCTGAGAAATGGGGAGGGCTCTATTTTGAGGTCTGAAGGGAATAACTAACATATACCTGGCCACGGCAGGAACTGGCATACTTGATGAGCCCATTCTCTTCCAGCCATCTGTCCCCACCAGAAATGATGAATGTACGAGATTTAAACACCTCGGTCCTCAGTCACTGAACCAGCAACGCCTCTTGGGGCTGGGTGAGAGTGCATGCAAAGGACACACCGTGGGAGGAGGGAACACAGCCTTTTGGAGAGCAACCTGGCCACGTGTTTTCAGAGCTTCTGCCGTGTTTAGACCTATAGATCCTATAGTTCCACTGCGGCAAATGTATCTTAACTGATAATCCTAAACATGAAAAGGACTTGATGAATAAAGATGTTCACTAAAGTATATTTAAATTATGAGGCAGCAAGTCACACAGAAGAGATTTAAGCAAATGATGCATCCATGCAATGGTCTCTGTGGAGGAAATGAGGCGGCTGTGTGGCATTTTGAACATATCACAGCCAAAGCACTTCCCTGGGTTAAGTGGGGAGAAGCAGGCTACAAGTTCCACAGCACAGAATGTGCCTTTAACTGAAAACACTAACTTTTAAACAGGAAAATCTGGCGAAAAAAAATACAGCACCATGTTGTACTTGTCACGGGTGTGCCTTCTTCCACTTTTCCTGTATTTTTAGTACTGAGTGACATCACACTGTCATGCTCTGGTCTGTAATGGAAACAGTGTACTCTAATCAACAGGAAAAGCTGGCAGCTCTGACGAAGAGGTCCATGCAGCAGCAAGCAGCCCAAGAAACCAGACCCACGTCTTTTCTGGACTCTTCCGCATACAGTGGACATGGAGAATTCCCCACATCTGTTAGACCTCCAAGAGGTGAGATGGATTCCCTTCTGTCTCCCAGGTGAGGGGACCCAGTGTCCATTGGTGGAGTACAGAAGGAATCCTATATAATAAAGAGGGAATATGCAAACTGACCATCACTCCGCTGCACACATGACGGTGCCCACAGCAAAGGCAAGGGTTTCCATAACACAAGATGGCTGCACCCAGAGTTCCCCTAACGGGCCTAACACAATCAGCAGGGACCGGAGGCTACACCCTCCCCCCCACTCCTGGCACCAGACTGGGGGACCTCAGGCTGCATCTCCTGTCCAGCAGATCTTGACGGGGGACCTCAGGTCATGCCCCCCGCCTGGTGGGGCTTGACAGGGGACCTCAAGGTGCTCCACGCCCCCACCCCACTGGGCCAGGGGACCTGTGCCCCCCACCCAGTCCAATGTGTGTGTGTGTGTGGGGGGGGGGGGATATGCAACCAGGTCTGTCTTGAGTGATTTTGGGCACACGTGGGTGGGCGGAGGTGACTCTGGGTCCTGAGGTGAGCCCCAGACTCTAACAGGAGGAAGATTTTCATATACATTTTACTAATTTATTTTTTCATCTCTGACACTTCTATTATAGAAAAAGGGCAAATAGCAATATTAAAATATTTCTTCTAATTAATCCCCTCTTAAAGTGCATGAATTTCATGCACCAGGCCATTAGTAGGTGATAAAGGTACTGGAAAGCTATCTGATGTGGAAAGAAAATACTAGAATCCCAGGCCCTTTCCTCTGCTGCTTCTGTTTCCCTGCCTGTTAAGTCCTTTCAACAAAAACCCAGTGATGGGCCTCGCATCTCAATTTTTGGTTTGTAAAAATAAAACCATCAAATCCATGCCCTGTGATGATCCAGCAGCCGTTCATATCCAGTGTTAGTCAGCATGCCTACTGCCTTTAGCAGACAAAGCAGAGTAATCAGGAGACAGGAAAGGGGTGGCTTGGAGAGGACCTCACCAACCGAGAGACACTAAATCCTCATGAAGTAGGACAAGAAAAGCCTGATAAATTGTACAGTCACGTGTGATCTGCTAAAATGATCTCTGGGACCAGTTATGACCTTTTCAACACCACTTTCCTTCCTTCCTGGTAGGACCCAATCGAAGACAACTTCCTCCAAAGGGTGATCATCAGCAGGAAGCTGGCCCCTGACAGCTGAAAAGCAGTGTGGTCAAGGAGGCAGAGGATCTGGAGCCAGAGTCCCTTTTCCATAATAAACGGGTGGAACAGAGTGTGACTGCAGAAGGTCGACTCACTCGTCCTGCACTCTGTAAGAGTTCCTGCGACACCGGCACGCAATGACCGCTGAATCACTGGGTCCCTTGCCAGGAATCAAGGCTGACATTTTCCACAGGCTCCTCCACCCTCCCTCGGCCCCGGCTTTGGCCCTCCTGGTAGGTGTATTGGCTTCACTCTGGGCAGGGACGGGAAATGAGAAGGTCTTCTCTTCTGTGCAGAGGACCTGGACTGAGTGAGTCTCTCCCCGTTAGAGAAGGGGCGGCTTTCCTGGGAGCCAATGGCAGAAGCTGCACTGAAGACAGAGGAGTCCTTTCTTGAGAGGGAGGCTCAGGGTGACGGCCCAGCCGCAGATCTGGGTGGGAACAGCAGCAGACCCTCCCAGGCACTCCCATTCAGAGAGTCTAGGCCTCAACCCCCTGACTACCAGGCTGGGCTTAACTGCTCAGTTACCAGCTTCTACAGGGTTTACCTTGTCCCTTTCAGGGGAACCCCTACCCCTGCCCAGAGGGCAAAGGCACTGAGCAAAAACGGTGGTGTGAAACACCTGTGGATGACACCTGTAGCACACTCTTCCACTGTCCCGATGTGTGAGAATGGATTTGCCCATTTTAAGAAGGAAGTAGGCCCAGAGAGATGGAGCGAGTTGGCCCACGTCACAGAGCTAATGAGCAGTAGAACCACCATTTAGTTCAAATTTTGCAGCCCCTCCCCTACTAGTATTTCCACTATGACAGTCTTCAAGTGTTTTACACCTACCGCCTCACTGCACTGACAACCGAGGTAGGAGCTGCAGTTACTCCAGGTTAGAGACGAGGAAAAGACACTAGGGAACCAAACTGTTCCCACAAGGACACTAGTAGTGTGGAGACTTTCTGAAGTTGGGAGAGCTGTGGTGGGAGCAAGCAATGATGGGACTGGGACTGGGGAAGGAATGGGCTCGC